GTTGACAAAAAAAGAAACAACACACATATGTAAAATTAAAAATATATAATGGCGACAATTTACCCATCGCACCTGTATAGTAAGGTTCTCTCAAAATAAGAACAATTTTTTTTTTGAAAACACCAAATCAATCTTAATATTTTATTGATCGATTCCTAACCAGAAATCTTCATGAAATGCCATAATTCCTCCTTGTTTTCCAGTGAATTTTTATAGTAAAATTATTTGCAATTAAAAGTAAAATTTCATACCAGTACATTTACATTAAAATTCTAATAGGTATTAGTATTAGCATTATTATTAATAATTATTAGTTGATGATTATTAGTCATTTTGACTAGTATTTATTTTTATCTTAATTTAAAAAAATGTAATAGTCTTATTCTGTCAGTAATACTTCCTGAATACGTTCTATATTTTTGAAATCTATCTATAATAAAATTTATCAGCCAATGCCTCTTTATAATAAAAGGTGTCTAATATATATAGATAGACAAAAGAAAAAATTTTGTTTACCAATGCAATTCATAATTTGACAGACTTTAAGGTAACTAAGGATTTTATTTTGCAACAATATTTATAAACAGAAGTAAAGAAATGTTTTTCTTTTGTTGTTATTCATATTGTCTTTTTACAGAGATATTTTATTTATACTTGAAATTTTATACACACATATCAGCAAAATTGTCCAAATCGTGTAAAAGCAAAATTGTCCATTTGTTAGATTAAGCTTTGAACTATTGTATCTTGGAAATGATTAAAGATATCTTACTGGAATTTTTCAAGGATTTTATATCACTATTGGAATCTACTTTGAGCAATAAGAATATATAATTACTCTCCAAGCTTAACAAGAGTATCATGATGAAATTGATCATAAATGAAGATGACATGTTCATCATTAATTAAACATAACTAAGGATCAGGAGCTCATGAAGTATTGAAATAAAGTTCAAATATATATATGTATATATATATATATTATTCCAGGGTCATTTTCCAACTTTTCAAGATGATCTTCACCCTCTCTAACTAAGTTACCTCACAGGTTTCATGTACAATTTAATTTTCAAGTCTTTTTTTTTCACTGCTCTTTGTCTGTTATAGGTGAAACTCCTCTCTCACATGCCAAACGTCTTAGGGATTGAGTTGGATCTTTTCTAATTGATCTCTTTAGCTCTAAGTTGAAATGATGATTCCACTACCTGTTGTGACCTCCTGATCCAGTTTTCCTCTCTACTGTTTCCTCTTTTTTAAACTTATTTATTGTTCTCAGGATGGGTCTTTAATGAATTTGAAGATGAAAGCTGGAGTATGAATGTTGGTCCCATTACTAAAAGCCTGAATGATTTTTGTCCCTCTCACCATTGCTCAGTTGAGAAGTTGGTGGGGGTTGACACAAAATGATTTTAACCTGTTCTCTTTCTAGCTGAATAACTCAAAGGGTATTTATGACAATGTGTCAAGATGGCTAAACATCTTATCTGAAAACCTGGAAAGAAAAAACTCAATTAGTTTAGTGTTTTTTTTTTTTGTTTTTTTTTTCTTAGATATTAAACATTTTGTGGGATCTCCAATTATGCTATTACATTCGATATATCTATATTGTAATTTTTGTTTTTTCCAAGTAGCATCAGATCAACATAGTATCAATGTCTTACCAGATGCTTTCACAAAATTTAACCTGATTTTAAGCAAGTCTCCTCCTGAATGAGTTTGGGTTCAGAATGTTTGTTTTTCATTTTTCAAAATTTTGTCATTCACCTTCATCAAATGCAATCAGTTATGTTGCTGTCCTTTGGTCAAGTTCAAGGAGGTATTTCCAATAAGCCCCCCCCCCTCCCCCGGATAGCTTTGAGATCAGTTGAATTTTCTCTCTACTGTCAAATTCATCTTTTACAACCTGTGGACAATTTGTGCTGAAAGAAATCATAGAAGAGCCTTTGTATTATTCAATAATATTTGATTCTATGAAGAGAAGTACACTTGCTCCCAAAATCGCAAAACATCTAACAGCCCCCAAATATTTTTTACTCCATATTTTGTCTATAATGAATTACATATCTCTTAGTTTCTACTCCTATCTACTACACCCATATCCTACTGGTGTTAATTTAAACTGACACTTTCTTTTTGTTTTTCCAAATATTATGACCATTTTGTATTTTCTTGTTTTCCTATTTGAATTTTCTGATTAATCTTAATTCTTAATTTAATAATTGAATAAGGTCCTTATTAATTTCACAATTATAAAATACCCATGTATATTGAGGTATTGCTTCATTAAATATTTGAGGTAAACAACTTTAACAAAATACTGCGATAACAATCATAAACATGAATGCAGGTCATCATTTATAGAAGTAAGAGGGTACAAATGAAAAGATTAAAAATTGACAGTTTTCCATTTCACTGAAGCAGACATTAAATGTATGAGTGTTATTACCTCTTTCCTTAAAAACAAACAGTACCTTTGATATATCTTCAGTTTTATGCGAATGGGGAGAGGCAGGCTATTACAAATCTATTCTCACAATAGTCCATTGTTTATCTGTGTTAATGGGAGGGCATAGCATATGTGCTAAGGAACAAGCAGAATTATAAGCATAATGATAGTATAGATATATAGAGAAAAAAAAAGTCAATTTAAGCTGACACCAGCATGTTATAGATCAATATATTGATTTATATATATTTGTTAATGTTTACATAAGTTTTTAAAGTACAATATTTCTTAAGATTAGTTTCATACAGCACACAAAGCCAAATGGAGTGAAGGAAATGAATATGATGGTTGTGTTATGTTAATCTACCCCAAATGGGAAGGGCTTGCCTGCCTTGAAAAATCAGAGTTTTTAAGTTGGGATGGGCTTAAACAATAAGTAGAAATATGCAGCTACCTTACCCATGAAACAAGTCAAAGTTTTTAACAATTGTAGTATATCATGACCATAAATTTGGAGTTCCCAATGAGGATCAAACACAATAGTAGTAATATTCTTTGAGATAAGCTTGATCAGCTCATTCTACTGTTCCAGAAAGTACTTGACTTTTTCTGCTACACTTTATCTTTACAAAAGTCAGATGAGACCAAAAATGGAGTATTACTATTAGGTTTGCCTATTGCGCAGTTCACACTCCTCCCTGGTCTTTTAAACAGAAGTAGAGGTTTGTACCTTGTTTCCTGTTTAAGACTGAGTTTCCATCTAAAGTATTTTCTTTTTCTTTCACTTCTAGTAACCCCTTGCGTTTTAGTCTCATTATTATCTTTCTTGAAGTGAATTGATTTAAAAAAGATTATCTGAGCTGGAACTGCTCAATTTTCACTTTACAGACTTGATAGTGTTCAAAGTTGTTTATGTGGTCTTGTGGGGGAGGAGACTCATTTTTCACTCTGCGTCCTATTTCCAACAGACACCATATTGCATGACTAGTACTACTGTATTGCTATTGTCTGGGAAAATGTTCAGAAGAGCTTCCTTCTTTGCTTTTGCCAGTTCAGGCGTTTACAATAAGGACTTGCCATGCTATACCCTTGGAGTCAATTCACCCACATTTCCTCTGTATTCTAAATATAAGGAAAAAGTGGGGATGCTTCCTTAAACACTACAATCATAACCTCTTCAAGTCGAGGATCAATTGTTATCTATCCTTCTCATCCTCATAATCTTCATTTTCTTTTTCTTCCTCTTACATTCATATTGTGCACCTCATTCAGTAACCTGCTACCTTGACTGACTCTTGAGCCTTGTATTAGGTGAATATTACTTTACAAAAAAATACATTGCTAGTAATGTTTCTGTACAGTCATCAATTTCAAAGAAAATCTTTATTAGTCTATTATATAATTAGGTTTCTCTTTTCTACAAGTGTTATTTTCTGAAGTCCTACCTAATTTGTACTTTGCTCTATTGTGGGAAGTTGGGCTTACAGCCATATCATGTTTCAACATGATATGGCTGAAGTTAAGCAGTGTTGAGCCTAGTCAGTACCTAGATGGGTGACGTGAATGCCAGGTGCTGTAAGCTTGGATATGTGTATGATGTAATGGATAATGGCTTGAAATTTTTAATTGGAGAGCTATTTACAGTTGGTTTCGTCATATTCACTTGTGTGAATACCCTTGGGAAAAGTATGAATCCACCTCTTCTCCTCCATCTGTGGGTTAATTAGTAAGACTAAATCATTATTATCTCCAAAAACATAATAAAATTGTGTACAAAATATTTAGATTTTGGCTTTAAATAATCCAGAGGTTGGTATGCCACTATACAATATCAACCAAGAACCAGTGAGAAAAAGAAAAAAGTCAGATGAGACCAAAAATGGAGTATTACTGTTAGGTTAATAGGAGTAGATAGGTTTGTCTATTGCCCGGTTCACACTTCTCCCTGGTCTTTTTAACAGATTCTGTTTAGGACTGAGTTTCCATCTAAAGTCTTTTTTTTTTTTTCTTTCACTTCCAGTAGCCCCTTGCATCTTAGTATCATTATCGTTTTCTTGGGGTGATTTGATTTTTAAAAAAATTATCTGGGCTGGAACTGCTCAATTTTCACTTAAAAAAAATTCTCTCATGTGTTTAATGTTTGTTTTAGTGATTCTTATGATTATTATTCCAATATTTGGTTTAAAATGTTGAGCTCAAATATTTAACAATGCAACAGGAATTTTGCAGGTATTTTGTAGTTGTAGAACTTGCAATAAGCTTAATTATTTATTAAATATTATAGATCTGAAAATTCAAATAGGTAAACTGAAATTTACATGGGTTGTTATTATTACTTCTTTGTGTTGGCCAGAGGAAATTTATACTTGATGAACTGTGTGACAAGTGTGTTGAATTTTGATAAATATGTAGAATAGCAAATATCTTTTATGCTTTGAGGTGATTCTCCCGAGAACTTTTTAGACCCCCCCTTATTTTCTTTGATGTACTGTATATGTTTTACTGTTTTGATTATTGCTTTAATTAGATATTTCAAACTTGTTTTATTTTTCAGGTGTGACTCTTCTTCATACTGCAGTAAATAATAACAGCATTGAACTAATTAAAAGATTGTTACAGGCAGGAGCTGAACTTGATTCAATTGTTAGTATAATTTTATCTTACTACTTTGCATGCACATATCTATTGCATTTGATGATATTTCTATGATATGCATTTTGAACTGTTGTTTGGTGATGGCGCTGGTTGTACCGTAATGGATAAACTTTGTCCTGTCATTGTGTTAATCTCCACACTTGTTTTTATGCCAATACACTAAAGTTACACTGTATCTTTCTTACTGAAAGTCAAATCAATTGTCTTTTCACCAGGAGAAATGTTTTCTTGTAGTAATAGCAGAATGCATATGGTCTGTATTGACTACTTTTATTGTCCCAAGTAGAAAAACTTTGCTGATTGCTTGTTAATGATAGAGAAAATATAGTGAATGTGAGAAACTCCTTTATCTTACTAGTGCAGGCACATATCCTATGAGGAAAAGGTTCTCACTAAAAAAATTCTGGAGGGTGAAACTCCGGCAAACTTGTATTGTCATGCCTGCAAAAAAGCAGTGTCAAAAGGATGTTCTTTCCTTGACACTGCTATTATTTTAACTACATTCACTCCTCAGCAATGTTTATTGCTTTAAAAAGAAATGATTAGAATTGTAATAAGACCTAAACATATGAAAGTGAGTATATATTTTTTTTTTTTTTTTTTTTTTTTTTTTTTTGTTAAGAAAATTTTGCTCTTGAAATTTACTGAATTATTAAAATATGTGAACCAACTATAATAAAAATCCTTATTATTTATAATTTTATAAAGTTTGAATTGATTGGCAATTAGCTGATATTTTGCAGACCATTCAAATAAACAATATAAATAATGTAAATAAATAAACTAATAGTGATGAGAGATTCCTGTAAGCCCACAAGACTTCTGACTTTGCTTTGTAAACAGTCATTGGTTTTGTGCTTCCAGTAGGAGATGTGAAGGAGCTTTCTCAAGCATTTGTTCTTGAACATCTGGATCCTTTATCCTGTCTCAACCAGGAGTGTCCAAGTCTCACACCTGTAGAAGAGGGTACATACAACTAGTGATTTGTAGAGCTTGAACTTGGTATAGAAGTGGATGTTGCTTTTTCATATTATTTCCAGTATGGCCGTCACTAACATCAGAATTTTATGATTTATGACGAGTTAAAGAAACTTGAGAAATGAGTAACAAGTGTACACTATTTACATGTAGACTAATATTCTCATCTTTGTATATCAAGCTGCTAATAAAGAAAGACAAATGACAGCAAATCTTCAACAGCAGCAGGGAGTGCAGTTAGGTATAACAAGCACTAGCGGCACTCATCAGCAGGCAGGTTAGGTTTAAGAATCCAAGTTCTCCACACAGAATTATCCTAAGCATTGGTTTGTGAATTTGGGTGACATTGTAATTGTGAGTTCAACCTCTGGTGTGGAGAAAGTGTACTTGCACTTGGCATACATTAACTGTGCAGTACTAAAAATAAGAAATAGATGAGATATCCCTAGACATGGACAGTGGAACAAGAAGAAAGATTAAATGGAGGGTTCAGCTTGGAATTCCCAGTAGATTACCCAGATCAACATACATCTGATGAAAGGTGGAGGGTGCAATGGCCGAAACATTGTAGTACCAACAGCAACAAAGATGAGGACAATAGTCTGCATGTAAATAGTGTACACTTGGTACTAGTTTCTCAAGTTTCTTTAACTCATTCATAAAACATGAAATTCTGATGTTAGGTCATTGAAAAAGGAGGGCTGGAGTGAAAACTTTTCATCACCCTCCACATAAATATAAATTGTGATGTGGGTTTTTTTTTGTTTTTTTTCAGGATTTCAAAAGTGGTCGCACACCATTGTTTCATGCAGTTGAAAACAAGAACATTAAAATTGTTGAATTGCTCCTTGAGAAAAAAGCTTCTGTTGACATTCCAAATTTTGCAGGAAATACTGCCTTTTTGGCTGCAAATGCACGTGGTTATCATGACATTTCTAAACTTTTGGCTGAAAATGGTGCTGATACAAGAGGCTTAATGGGGCCTGAAGAATTAATTTCTTACCCAAAGGTAAGTATATATACCTGTCTCCCTCTCTCTCTGAAATTTTCAAAAAGTATTAGAGACAATAGTACATTGAATGGTTTCACTAGTTAAAATAGACTCAGCTAGATCATGTAAAGATTGTTTGGCAGGTTTCTTTGTGTGTTTAAATGTGTCCTAATTGAGCTATGGTCAGTGAGTTGTAACCTGAGTCTTCTTGATAGGTATGTAGTAGTTTGTCCAATATACTTATGAATTTGGTTTGATCAGGAATGCAATTCCTTAAAGGACATGTGGATTCATAAATAATATTGGTTCCCTGTAATTTGGATCTTGCAGGTGAATTATTATTGTTGATGATGAGGTTAGTTTTTTTAAATTTCTTATAGTAGATAATTTATTTGATTTTCTTGTTTTGGTTGACTGCTGTTGTGTATTTCTGTATAATGTTTCTAAGGGAAAATTCATCCTGCTTATAGTTATCTCTGAATTAGGCAAAACACTATGTGCTCTTGTTCACCTGAAGAGACAAGTAACATCACACAGACTAGATAGAAATAACTGCTGTTAGATAATCCCTAACATAGGAATCAGAATGAGAACAATTGAACATGCCCCACCAGTGGATTGCATAAAGGCTTTGGTCTTGGAAAATTACAAATAGTAACAAGCACCTAAAGAATGCTGGAGGGTGTAACAACCAAGATAAGGATACTTGTCCAGGTAAATTTGTGTCTAATAACTTCTACCTTTCTACTTAAAGGAAGCATTTTAAACTCCTTTTTTGAATAGCCAAATTGGCAGTATTGGTGTTTCACTTTGGAACTAAAACTGTAAGCATTCAGCATTCATTAATCCAGTGGTTCCCAACCTTTTTTTGTCTGGGCCACATTTTCAGAATTAAAATTTGTTTGTCACTTAAGGGCCATGCATAATATACACTTAGGTGATCATATATCTTGTCAATACATGACTGACTAGGCATATTTTTTTTCCTGCAGTAGGTTGCCATTTCTTTCTGCAGTAGACCAGTTGCCATCCAAGGCTATAGAACCTGGTCTATCCTTCTATTTACCCATAACTTTAAGACGAGGATTCATACCTTTCCCAAGGGTATTAGCACATAAGTGAATGTAATGGATTCAACTGGAATTTGAACTTGGCTCTCCGATTCCTCAATCCGAGCCACTATCAATTACTCCACCATAGGCATTTTAAAATAAAAAACAGAGTGCGGGTTAAAGGGAGATAACTGTGAATTCAAAGTTTTTTCAGTGTGGCACATAGTATGAAACTTAATATTCTTAATGTGAATTCAAAGTGAGAGCATTATTATTGATAACTCTCTCCTCCAGTTTGTGGACTCTAGTTATTATATTTTAAATACTTGATATAATTAAAAAATATCACAATAATAAAATCAGTCAATAATTATTTATAACTATTCATACTGGGACTTATGCATGCAATTACAAGTATTCCATAATAATATTTTAAATTTTGAAATCATATTTATTTTTATGAATTTTTTTTTTAAAACTGTTTCTAAATCTTTGATTATCTTTCAATCGTTCTGCCTCACCTGCTATCATTTTCTGCCACACTGTTTGGGAACCACTGCATTAACCAAACAATTAGCATTACTGTTGGTTGAAATTTATAAAAATCTTTCTCTTAAAACAGTTTTTCAGGAAATTAGACTTCTCATGTGCACTTTTATTGCTCTTTCTAATATTGATGGTAGTTTCCTTCCAAACTTTTTATTGTTGGTAGTGTGAAAACTTAGCATCTTAATTATATCATTATTTTCTCTTTCAGTCACATGTGCTACCCAGTTTTGTTGTCGTTGCTACTGAAACTATTCAAGTGCCATGTTTTTTATTATTTGATAAAGCTCTTTATTATTTTTTGATGCCAGTCTATGGAATATGCTGAAGGATCATCTTTAAGACTTAAAGGATTCATTCACTTGAATCCATTATAACATTGTGGAAAGTAAAGACCACTCTAATTTTTCTTCCTTAACAAATGTATTATAATGGATATTTAACTTGTATTACAGACATTGTGTGTTGAATTGTAATTTACAGCCTATAAACTTTATACAGCAATAATATCTAATTTAGTTACCTTGAATTAAAACGAATCTTTTAAAACATTTTGATAATTGATATGTTTTGAGGTTATCTCCCTTGCGATGAGTAAATAGTTTTTTTTTGTCTTTTTCTATTATTTTTTCTTATTAGTAAATTTTTTTATAATCTAAGTAATTGTTTTTTTTATTATGTTGTTGTCTTTTAATGAATTAAAATCTTTGATAATTTGTTTTTGTTTTCTGCTTTAATATTTTTTTAAAACTGTTAGATTTGCCTCCTCTTAAGGAATGAAATCTTTTAATAATTTACTTATTTTTTTAATTGATTTCACTCCAAGCAAGGCTGTAAAGCTACAAAAGGTTACCACTTGATTTTGCATATTCCTGATGCTAATAAAATTGTCACTTTAATGAATAAAAACTTTTTTTTTTCATTTGCAGACATCAGCTGTCAAGAGTCAGTTGAAAAACAAATTGGTTTCAGGCAAAACCAGTCCAGTCTTACAAGAAACTTAGAAAAAAAAACTCTAATAAAACAGCATAAAAAAATATTTCTATATTGGTTTATTAGACTATTTACATTATTCGGACTATTGTCCTCATCTTTGTCACCATATTTATTACACCGTTTCAGCCGTTGTAAGCTCCGGCCTTCTTCAGGTGGTTGGAATGTTAAACTGAACCCTTTATTTCGCTCACTGGGGTACTCTGTTCTAGTTCCACGTGCCATGTTTAATGGATGTCAGTTATCAGTTATCTCCTGTTAATTTCCCTCTCCAAGTTCTCCACTGCCTTAACCGGGTATTAAATTCAAACTCTATGGGTCCTGTCACTGGATCTAACCAACACCTTTATCTGTGTATGAATTTCTGGGTATTATAAACTGACATCCATTAAACATGACATGTGGAACTAGAACAGTCTACCCCAGTGAGCGAAATAAAGGGTTTAGTTTGACATTCCAACCACCTGAAGAAGGCTGGGGTGTACAACAGCCGAAACGTAATAAATATAGCGACAAAGATGAGGACAATAGTCCGAATAATGTAAATAGTGTACATATTATTTCATCTCAGAAATATAGACAAATACTGAAGGATGCGATAAATATGGTGACAAAGATGAGGACAATAGTCCAAATAATGTAAATAGTGTATATAATACCTCATCTCAGAAATGTAGACAGATACTGGTTTATTAGATTAGTTTTTTTTTTTTTTTTTCAGAATTTAACTTCATTGAAAACACTAATCAAGTTCAGATATTCTTCTAAAACAAACATTTTCCAGGTTATCACTTCAGAGATTTTAAGTTGATTTTTGGCGTTATGAACACACTGATATATAATAATTTGATTTGGACAAGTAGTGTTATATTTAATTGCATGCACATGATTGCTGTAAAGTTATAATGTAAAATAAACGTGCATATTTCCCATAAAGAGCAAATGAAGAAACGTACATATTAACTTTTGATATGTTTTCTTTAATCAATTCACCCCAAGCAAGGAACTACTGGGAGTGAAAGAGGCTTTTGCTATAACATTTTTTTCTTTAGTCATGTATACAGAACCACAGATAATAATTATATTTTTTCCTTTTTGTTTTCTGAGCTTGTATGCAAGGTGTTTTTTAAAAAAGGTTTGCAATTGTTACGTTAATTCTATTCAGAAATCATTCATTTTTTTCATTAACCATTATTTAACAAATCTTTCTTTTTAGTCTTTTCTGATAATGATCACTTTAATATTACATTGAAAAAATAAACATGGCTTTGAGTGTAATACTGGGACATGATTAGTGTTGATTTCCATGTCCACATTATCTATATCTACAGATACTCTGTTTCCAATATTAAACACTTTCACCTCCCTCCCATTAAAACTTTAAGTTGACTGAGAATTAAGTCGATTGAACTTTTATTAATTTATTGGACTTACTGCTGTATTGATCAATTTCTTGAGAAAAAAAAATTCTACTTGCCCTGAAATACTTTTATTCTAGTAATTTTTACCTATTTTGATAGGTGTCTTACTTTTAATGATGTTGGATAGTTGTATTTTAATGTAAGAAAGAATTTTTTTTTTCTTTTTAAAGCAGAATTCTTTTTTACATGTAACAACAGAGTTAATTGTTTTAAAACATCCCAGATAATATGTTAAATTAATGTATATAAATAATAAACAAAACCAAATTATCAAATTCCCTGTAGCTAACATACAACAGGGCTTCTTCAGCCTATCACTTGCTCTTACTAGACTGATGTTAAAACAATATAGAAAATATGAAAAATCTTAAATGAATATATAAATAAAACAGTCAAAAATTAGTAAAATATAGTTTAAAAAATGATGCAGATAAAGTAAAAAAACAAAAAAAAAACAAACCTGTTGTTCATATGAATAACATGTATCATGTTCTGTCTCACCTATATAGATTTGGTTGGAATAAAACCATTTTTCTGATGATGCAGTTTGATTAGTAAAGCATGTCAAGATAAGAACTTTCCAAAATTCTCTTATATATTTATGAGAATTAGCAAAATTAATGTAAATCATCCTTATAAAATTTCCATATTGAATGCAGTCTTTTATAAGAATGCTTTTTGTAATGACACATGTGCTGGCCTTGTACTGATTATCTACTGTCTTTAGTTAAGCATTTGAATGAGTCCTATCAAAATGCTAATGGTACATTTCTGTTTTTTTCCTAAATCTCTGAGTGAAAACAGCCTTGTTTCATGTCATGCTATGCCTGAATAGTACTTTTTTAGTACCTTTGAAGAATAGTTGAAAATTTTTGCTTTAAAACTCACAAATATAACATAAATCTGATATAAGGATTCTCTACTATAAAGGGATTAACACATTATATAAGGGGACCATCGGAAAAAACACATCACATCAGGACTTTTAATATTTCAAAGTTAATCTTTTTATTTGATTTTTTTTTTTTTTTAAGTTTTAAAAAATTATGGCATTTTCCAGCTTGTCTAAAATACCTTGTCTATATACATTTTGAAAATCATTTCATCCCAAGTAAGGCAATAAAGCCACTAAGATGCAAGTGTTTACTGGGTGTAAAAGAATATGAGAAAAAAAAACATTAAGGAGAGTCAACAATGGAAGAACAGGAATTAAGAAGACAAGATAATATATATATATATATATATATATATATATACACACACACACGCACACATTTAACAGCGCAGCAAAAGTGCTAAAAATTTCTGACGTTGAAATAGACCAGACGATATGCATTGAATGGATGTCATCATTCATTTGAAAAAAGGCACCCCAACCCTACCTTGACTTAACCTTTTTTCTAAAGTAACTAATATGTTGATACGATAGTTGTCAGTGAAAATGAATTCCCTACCACCCCTTATTAAAATTAGTAAATGCTCTGTTTATAATATTTTCTTAAATATTTGTATCTATAAAAAGAAAGTATAAGCATAAAAATGTCTTAAAATAATTGTTGGACTTTGTCCATTTCATAATGTGTGACGTCATTTGTTTACATTTGGATACGCTTTGAGCAGATATGAATGTACATGAGAGATTCATGAAGATTGAAGTTTAAAGGCAGTAAATTTAACCTTGCTAACCGAACGCTCCTCTGTGGCCCAATCAGTTAAAGGAACATCAGGCTATATGATGGTTCTGTATAGGATACAAGTTCAATTCCTGTCGGAGGATGAATGTTTTCTATGAAAATTTCTTGGACATTCAGGCCGGTAAATGATATTAATACTGTTTGTTATAAACAGAGCATTTACTTAAATATTTGTAACTATAAAAAGAATGTATAAACATAAAAATGTCTTAAAATAATTGTTGGACTTTGTCCATTTCATAATATATATATATATATATATATATAGTTTAAAATTTGCTATATTTATGATGGAAGAGTGCCTAATATTGATAGTGTTTGTAGATGTGGACAAAGGAAGCAAAGTGCATGGTGACTCAGTTTCATACATCATATGTGTATTTCAAAACTATTGCAATTATTAAAGAGTAAAATGGACATATTTAAAGAAATGTTTTAATATTTATTTTTTAAATTACAAATGCTTTTGAGAATTATTCTTGCAAATAATAACACTTATTTCCTATACTAATAATTATTGGAAATTTTTTTATTTAGTGATATTCTGAAACAATCATTCAGTGAACTCAGATCTCCTCATATTCAAGAAGAAAAATACATTTAATTCCTGGTCTATTTTGTTTATTCCAGTTGCTGATAAAGGATATGAAACTTGAAAAGCAACATAAGTATTGTTTTCACTGGTTATCTGTTTAATCACAAATGTTAATTCCACACTTGAAGTGTAGACTGTTTAAATGAAAATGGAAAAATGTAACTTTAGATTGTTAAAGATCTTATGTTATAAAACTGATCCATAAAAAATAAAAACAGGTAATTACTCCAAGAGAACAAGATACTGCACTTTGGGAAATTATTAAGATTATTGATTGTTGTAATTTCTTACATTGTCATTTCTCGTTATTTATTGGTGTATCAAAAATATTTTCATTTTTTATGTCACATTTCTGAATTTAATATTTATGTACCTACCTTTGCTATGTTTCTATGATCCTATCTTATCTCAAATGTTGGGGAAGCTGGCGATTAGGCTCACCTCTGCAATGTGTTTTAAAATGTCATCATTAACAACTGACAGTAGTTTCCTTCTGGGCTTTATGTAACATTATCGTTTCATAGCGTCTAATAAAACATAATCTCTCATACACAACATTACATTTTATTTCAACTCCAGACTTCATCAATTACTATCAGCTAGTTGGATGTGTGACCCTGGGACTTCTTGCTGAACATGGAATCTATATTCTTGTATGGATGTAAGTGGGAACCCATGCTCTTCTCTGCAATTACCACACATCTGCCCATCACATGACGTTTTCTATGCACAGCTAGGCCAGCAACATGTATTTCTTGTGATTGCCACTGTAATTGAGTGAATTGTAGATCTCCAACCCAGGCTATGAGGTCATCCTCAAAAATAATACCTTTAAATTATTGGAATCTCAGTACTTGTACCCAGTATTATGACATAAGAAACATAAGTTACAGATGAATAGAATTGATAATCTTTTACTTATATATAAAACATCTAGTGCAATCATAATCTTTAGATATGTACATTAAAGGAGCTTTGGATTAAAGGTGTGTGTAAAAAATGAAAATTATGATACACTTTTTCTTTTTTTTTTTTTTTTTTTTTTTCTTTTTTTTTTTTTGCAATAAAATCTTTTTATTTAATTTAATAAGCCATCTACTAAATACAGAAAAAAATCAATTTTAAAAAATTCTTTGCCATATTTACCTTGAAAAGTAAAAAGAAAAAAATTATTTTTATTTTCCATTAATGACAAAAATAATCGATTATCTTTTTCTTTCTTTTCGTTTTTTTTAACAAAATGACATTTTAAATGTGAATTTTTATATCTATTTAAATGTTAATATTTACATAAAAGCTTA